CCCAAAACAATACATCAAAATAGAGCAAAAGACCTGTTCATTTCAGGGACAAAGAGACTGTTAATCTGGGATGAAAAAGGGCTCAGATTTAGGGGCTAGAATTGTGTCATCCCCCAAATGTGCAGGGGTCAGTGGCTTGTGGGAGTTTTATTGACTGGCTTATAAAATCAGGAGTTGCTTTTCCCCTTGTTTGCCTCACTCTTTCAACCTCTGTGGGACTGGGGCCCTTTTTTTCTCCCTCTGTCTCCATCTTTAAGGCTGCTGCGGTTTTGTGGTTTTTATGAAAACTTGGAATTTATGAGGAGGGCAGCTGAACCCTCTGAAAGATCATGCAGTTCTTTCTTATTCCAAACAGTTAAGAATGTCAGGGTCACTGTTCTCTTCCTTTTTTAGGGACAGTGGAAATTCAGGGCCCAGATATACACTGCCCTACCATATATTTGTCTGTGGAACTCCACTGAAATTAGGTTAAGTCCTTGGTAATGGACTTAAAGTATAAAGTATAAAGATTATTCTACCATATTATCAAAATATTTACAAGCTTCTGGGGTGAGATTGATTTATTTAGGAAAATTGAAAACTAGTTTTCCCAGCAGACATGCAGTTACTTCATCCAAGTGCGTTCTATTTTAATTGACGTGTATTTCCTTTAAATAATTGGAAGTGAAAAAAATTATTTGGGTGCTACAGGAGTGGATGGTTGTTCCGTAAGGCAAAGCCATTCCAAATAAGAATCAAATAGTCACTATTTTCAGTGCATTCACATGGCAAAAATTCATGTCTTCTCAGGGAAGAACAAAATCAAAGATTATGCCATGTTAAGCAAATTTAAGATATACACTCAAACTTTTTTATGAGTAACATTTATTTTTATTTAAATTTAACTTTGATGGATATTCTCAGGAAAAATGAAATGTGATTTTGCTACCAGATTTAATATATATAGGATACTACCTCAGCTCAGTTTGAAACAACCAGCTCTTCTACAAAATTAACTGTATATTTTTTAGAATTTTTTGTCTGGTTTTTCTAAAAAGCTTATTCATTAGGGATGTATAATGAGAAATAAAAACTATAAAATGGCCTAAAATAATTGTCTAAGTCAGAAGAGAAAACATGACTTGGAAGGGACGTGTTACCTTTTTAGTGTATATTCTCTCTTGAGCATTAGGCTTTGCAGAAAGTTCTAGAGAGCATGGTTTTTCCAACAAGTGCACGCTGCTGGTATGTGCCTGGGAGAAGATTAAGGTGAAATAAGAAAGGTTTAAATAATTTGTACTAGAGTAGGGCATATGATCCAAATGTAGGTTGGTACGCTAGATGCTGAACAAAAATATAATAAGAGCTCAAAGGGATTCAAGCTCCCTAACTGTATTGCATCTCCAATCATGCAGTCAGGAGCTTGTGACTCCACTGATACCACATAAAGTTTCATCAGCAGGATCTACATTGTGTTATTGGAGAAGCAGCTTTCCAAGCACCATACAGCACGTTGGATGTCCAGAACTATAACATCCATCAGGAAGTTTTTGTCTTACTTGTCTCAAGTGTCACAGCAGCAAAATTTCCTGGAGAAGGAAACTAAATTTCACTTATCTTTAATGGTTAGATCTATTTTGGACCTACAAATGTTGGAGCTGCACTATTAGTGGGAGTAGTGCCACTTACTGATCTTGTGTTTAGGTTTTTCAGTTTTTGTTAAGCAAACAGTCACTCAGTAAAGGTGAGCTGGACCACATGTTTGTCACACTAGGCCAGTATGCACTGTGGCAAAGTTCCTATGTTTTTCATATAAGAGATTCCAGGGTTAAATTAAACCTGCATATTTTGTTCCACTGGATTAGAGAGGTGCATTACCCTCTGTCTTTCAGCAACACAAAATATGGTGTTTCCCTGATATCATAATATTTGGTGAATCCCAGAGATCAGATAAACATTGAGATATTTCTTCCTAGAGAACTAGGGGAATTACATCCTTCATTTTATATCTATTGTTTAATATTTAATTGAAGGTCAAACAAAAAAAGGAAGCAAGAAAACGTCTAATCACCTGCAAAGAAGCAATGTCACTGGCTAACGTAGGTTGTTGACAAATGACACAAGTGGAATTTCTAAGAGTAGTAATGAAGTTTAATACATAGTGATGGCACTATGAGTCAAAAGAAATGCTTTTACTTGAGATTAGCATTCACATTAACATGCTGCAGAAAAAAAATCTTATGGAGAACATCTTTAATGCACAACTTTAATACCTTTTGCATTACTAGTGAAAACAATGGGAGGTATTCATCAAAGAGAAATAATCATTCACTTTTTATGCAGTGTCATGAGCCGTTTATTAAAATAAAAATTTTCAAAAATCAGTTTGGTCGGAGTAGGGAGTAAGGGGTAAGGTAATTAATGCTCTTCCAGGTAAATACTACGGATTCTTGTACCAGGACTGTTTCAGAGACCTCTTTAAATATCTATAGGTGGTGATTCTTCAAATACTAGTCTTTCATTTCCATTATTCCTTTTGTTTCTGACCCCCATTTATTCACATCAAAATCTATGGCTTATTTTTTTTTTCCAGCTCATGTATTAATGTGCTTTCTAGTGAGATTTTGTTTCTTCCACCTAAATTAGAAATACCAGTCACAGATGAAACCAGAAAGGGCCAAAGTCTGATACTTCTGATCACTAGATGGTGTGGTAACTCAGTGCATTTTTAGGATCAGGCCTGCTGTGTGGGGTTGCAAAACTTTTTTTCCCATTTTAAAGAATTTTATGATAAGTCCTATAGTTTTGAATACTCACGTGAGCTGGTTCTCATTTTATCCAAATCTAGACACCTATTCCTCAAAAAAAATCAGGTAGATACATAAAGATTTAGAGATAATTGTGTATACATGTGTTGTGAAAGATCTCTGATTAGATAGATATTTTAGGCAGTTTTGCCTCCCTGAGAGGCACAATATCCATTTTCAAGGACAAAAAATATTTTTTCACTGTTTCTTTCAGTTTTTCTTGATCTTGTGTTTATTGTACAGTGTAAGTCATCCGTTAACACTGAATCCCTATTCTTGCTGAGTACGGACAAAGGGATACATAAAAACTGCATAGCAGAATTGTTAGTATTGGAACAGTGATGGTGTGGGGGGGCATGTAATAATGTGTATGTTATGCTGAAATATATTACAAACCTTAATGTTATAAACATACAACATAATGTATGAATGTTCTTAATGCTAGTTCTCTATTCTTGTAATAATTTTGTCTTCCAGAAAATGTTTCAAGTCAAAGCAAATCATATTATACTTTGTACAGTTGGGATGTGGAGCGGGAAAGGATTAAGGAGGTCACTTTTGGTTATTTAAGTTACAGCTTTAAGTAGCTTGAAGGCAGATAATATGACTGTGGGCAAATAGGAAATATTCAACACAATGGGGTTGATCCTTTTCCCACTGAATCAGGGAGAATACTGGGTCTATAGACTTTATTAGCAAGGCACAAGCATCAAATTAAGGTTTTTAAAAAAGGACAGGGAATTTCAAATATTGGGGTCCTCCACATTTTTGCATGGTCATTGCTGCAACAACTTAATTTAATTCTGTACTATTGTTCCTGGCATGTTATAAAGTATGCATTTTGGCAGTAAGAGGTCCATTACTCATTAGCCTGATGCCACACTCTCTCTCCAGTCATTTTTATCCAGAGAGAACAATTCTGAGGTCTATAAATTAGGCAGTGAGCAGGCACTAATCCCCTTTAGGAAAAAGGAAACCTTAATCTTTGCTAAAAGTCTCAAGACCAATGTAAAAGCTAGTTTCTACAGCATTTAACCCAAGTTCACTGGAGTCTAAGAACAGATTTTAAACAGATTTTAAAATCAGGGAGAACAGATTTTAAATGCTGGTTTTGAAAGTAATCAGTTGGTTTCCCAGATGGTCTATATGTGACATTTCAGGAGTATGTAGGTTAAAAATCCTGTGAAAGTATGTCCCCATCTGTACTTGAATGCTTTGTCACCATCAGGCAAAAGCTTTCAAATGTGCTGGTGAGTCAGATAGCAGGTAGTGTTGAAGGAAAGCTATTTGACAACCTTCTTATTTGTATGAAACACAGCACTCATTGTTTAGCTCAAGCACTCAGGTGCTTTATTTTTTTTTCCTTGTGTGTTTATTTTCATAGCTGACAAAGCTGCAAAACTTAATTTATTTAAATGTATTCTGGATTGACAATGGATAATCTCCTTTCAGTTTTACTTTTCTTGCACTGAAAAATAGTGTTTATAATGGATGAAGGCATAGTAATAGTGTTCAATACATTTTTATTACCTTGTTGTCTTTACAGTTTTTTTCTTTTTTGTTCTTGTCAGGTTAAAGATTGATATAACAGTGTGAACCGGAGCACATACCAGAGGCACATCTAGGATGTTGGACTAATGGCTTGTTTATAAATATTCATGAGCCATCTCATTTAGCTAGAGCTCTTGGGACTTGATTAAAGTAAGGGACACTGTTATTGCTGTTGTAGCTGTAAAGAGCCTTGTATTACGACAGAGCTAGCAGTACCTGAGTCTTGGGAGTCAGTGGTGACTGTCTGCAGTATCTTCCAACAAAGCTATGTAGACTCTTCTATAGACCAACTTGGGGGCAACAGATAGAATGAATTTCGAATTTCAAAGCACCTTTCTAAGTCCTGTTTTCTAATGAGTATTTTGTGTTTGCTTCCAAAAGGCCACTGGAAGAGATGACCATGTAGATACTACTGTCTGTGCTCAGCATAATGGGAAGCAGTGAATGGAATGGAGCTTGTCTTCAGCCTTGAAAGCAGTCATCCTGCGGACTCAGAGCTTGTCAGGGACACCTCAGTCATCAGACGCGTTCTCCTCGGAGCTCATTGAACACATTGGATTTTTAAAACTCTTTTAGATTAGAATTTGAGTTTGTTTCCTTGCAATTTTTAAGCAATTTTAAAATTCCATCAAATATACAGAGTGGAGCAATATAAACAGCAACAATGGGTGACATGACAAATAGTGATTTCTATACCAAGAACCAAAGAAACGAGACCAACCATGCAGGAGATTTTGGGTGCACACTGGAGGAATTGCGCTCCCTCATGGAACTTCGAGGAACAGAAGCAGTAGTAAAAATTAAAGAGACATATGGGGACACAGAGGGGCTCTGTAGACGTTTGAAGACATCACCAATAGAAGGTAAGGGAGTTTTGCTTTCTTGATTTAGTCACAGATTCTGTACAGTACTGGGATTCTTATAATGACCTTCCAGATAAAGTGAATGGTCAGCAGAATGAATTTTCTGTCACTCTTAACTGGAATTCATATAGCATTTTCATCATTCCTATGGCAGAACTCCACAGCTAAGGGGGGAAATACTTCAGAAAGAGGATAGGAGAGAGCAATAGACAACCTCTTTGTCAAATATACGTAGTTGTTAAAGCTAGTGTGAGAATAAAAATAGTATTTTATTCAGTAGTTTATTCAGGTTGTTAAATGAATTAGTACTGTTTTTAAAAATAAGTAAGTAGATGAGAAATTCAACCCCAAGCTGATTTGTGTTTGGTTTTTTTTTTTTGGATGGAAAAGAAGAATTGCTTTGAAGGGATTTTAAAATAATATGGACATACAGAGACATAACATTAACTTTTAGGATTTGGATATGACTACTGCACAAATTAATATGCATTATATATTTTTGATTACTAACCTTGACCTCTCAACATACTGCAGATATTTCTATTTACATTATTAATATTTTAGCCTAATTGTTTGTTTTCCTCTTGATAACTCTACTAATAATCTGACTCATAACCTTTTGAAGATGGTGTACTCTTGTAAATGTCCTTGGCCTGCTATACCAGATTAGAATGTTCTAATCACAGCTTCTAATACTAACTTTAATGGACAATAACACATTAGGTTGGTAATACTGACTTTGAACCTATAGTATGTTTACCTTTGTCTTATATTGTAATGTATCCAAGACAACTCTTTTTTCTTTCCCTTTTCAGGGGGATAGAAATATTACTTAAAGGTTTGATTATCTCACTCTCTCTTTTTTAAAATGATCAATTTAGTAATTAGTTTCTTGTTTTGTAGTAAACTGCAGTGGTAAACATACCATTTAATTGTAATGTCATAAAATGTGATATCCTAAACTTATATCAGGAAAATGATATTAGGGGAATAGCAAACAATTTTTATCTTTTACAGGAAAGATACATTTCTCATGTTTATTCTAAATCTTTATTACAACTGCGCTACACTTAATGGTATTCAGATATGTAGTCTCAGAATTGATCAAATGACAATTGTCATAATAAAAGTTTAGATTAAAACATGAAAAATGCCTGTTCATGAATGATAAACTAAAGTAATGCCGTGTAGTAGAACCATTCAATAAATACTAATAGAAGTTTGGTACTACTGCTAAGGTTCAGCAACCTGTTTCCCCATTAAATGTTCATGAAACTTTATGGGTGAGCTTTCTCAGCTTGAATAAGTCACCAGAACTTAACCAGATTCAATGGAGCAACAGCAATTTTACCTCTAGAAAACCTCAAGCAATTTGTACTTCACAGGAAGTGTTATTTGCACTATCTGCACAATATGCAGCAGCAAAATAATTTAATTCCTCATACCAGAACAGTCTGTATGGATCCAACCAGTCTGTGCTGTCTCCAGCAGTAAATCTATATCTGATACTACAGATAAGGTAACTAAGCCCTCAGTGCACCTAATCTTTTGTTCATTAGGGAAAAACTTCTCCAGCTCCAAACAGCAATCAGCATATGCTTTGAATCATGAAAACTCTGTAGTGTTTTACATTTTTAAATTACCTCATCTAAGAGTTATTACCAATAAGTTTTAAACTTTATTTTTGATCTTTTTTCTTGGAAAAAAATATTTTGAGATACGAATTCTACTGACCAATTGTATTCCATGTAGAGAGAGCTTTATATGCTGAGGAAGCTATCTGTATGAAATAAGAGTAAAATAAAGGGCTCTGTCAAATTTTAAATGTATTTTTAAAATAAATCTTTATTCATTCCATCCAAGTTTACTGTCCTGTAAACTCTAGTAAAGAGGGATATAACACAAATAAGAAAACATATTGTCAGTGTGTGTTTTGCTATGGAATGAAGAAAACAATTGGTGGAGCTACCTATGGATTTGTGAGTTTCACATCTGTCTGCTGATATGACTTAACAGCCTAGTTGTGTGTGAAGGATGTATTCACCCCATCCCACTTAGCCCTCAGGGGCCATCTTCCCAAAGTCTTGTGCCTCACAATGATCTCCGCAGTGTACTGCTTTAACCAATCCAATTTCAACAAAACCAAGCTGGTAGGAATTCCACTATCACCAGCTTTCTTGGTTTTTTACTGCCTCAAGCTACAGTTTCCACACAGGACTCATGAGGTGGGATACAGTATGCTTTAACCTGGTCTACCAATCCTCTCCCATCGATAAATTTATGTTAAGGAAAGATTCTGTGTTGGGTTAAGTGAGTATGCTGCAGAGACTGCTAACTATGCACATGTCCAGGAAGCAAGAGCAACTTTAAAATGTCCACTGTGATTTTGTTTTCATGAAGCATTTACAATTTTATAGAATATATAACAAGTGGGTACAGGACTAGACAGAAAAAAAGTTTCACATGAAAGTTGGCATTTAAATTTGAGTTTGGTAAAATGGCATCTGATCCGAGTCCACCTACTTGCTTGATGTCATAAGAAAGTTATAAGCTGTGACTAGTGAATGGATTTGTTACCTCCTTTCTTATATTAATATTTGATATAACACTTGTATACTAAGGAAAAGCTACATAAAAGTGCCTGTTTGAGGATCCTCCCCCCCGCATGTGACGTAGGTAAGAAAATGCAAGCATACCTTGCCTTGGTCTATGCTGTGGTGCATATGCTTTTCTGACTCTTTGATTTGTATTAAATATGTAAATTATGCTAATGTAATATACGTATTGAGTTTCTTTAATATTAGGGTATAAAAGAAATTTGCTTCTTGAACATGTAATATACATATCGGATGTCTTCAGACTTTTGAAAATGTTTATTGAACTCATATTTCCTATGTATTCCTAAGTGATTTGTTGCACTAACATATGACTTTATTGTGTTGAACAGCTAAAATTTTAAGTTTTCTGAAAAGATTATGAGAACACATTCTATGGAAAAATATAAATACCCCCATATTGCACTCTATTTCAGAATATTTTTAATTCAATTCAATTTCATTTGTATTAACTTGAGATGGTGCAAAAAGTAAAGAGATTCCAGCTGTCTGTTAGTCAACTGAGCAGAGCTGTTCTGATAGTTGTATAAGTTTCCATGGAATCTGAGTCTCTGAGGCCCACTCAAGCATAGTGATACTTTACAATGGAGGAAAGGCTGCTGATTCAATGTGATGAGGTAGCTGGAAGAATACCAAGTAAGACTGAAGTTGTATTCCTGTCTGAAATTGATGTATTTCACCTATATCTTTATGCAGAATATACCAATACAGAGTATCTGGCATGTTTTTTTTGTGAGACAAAAACATAAGGTCACTTTAAGAAGCTCTCTTTATTATTTAAGTGAGAAATCATGTGAGACAAAGGCCAGGTATAGACATAACACATATCAATATAAGTGTCATGGGATGGGGGTCCTCGAGGATGGCTGTGTTACCCCTAGGGCCCTTTGACTGTGCCAGTTTGGCCCGATGGGCACCTTCTATTCTCGCCTGCCATGTCTTGATGTATTTGTACTATAGGGAGGCTGCCTTCACGTCCTGTTGGACACAGTCCTCATGGATTTCCTTGAACCCCATGGGTCCGAGACCCCTTGTGGATCCCGTTTCAAAATACATGTCCCAGGACACCCCAGCCTTACGGGCTATTTGTGTGGCTCCAACTGCCCCTTTGCCACGCCCCAAGCCTTGCAGATGGCATTGATGTTGTTCGGTTTAGGCCTTGCTATGATTTGGCCCTCTTGTCCTCTCTGGGCTCTCCGCAGCCCTGTCTCTGTGCCTCACTGGTGCCTGGGCTCTCCGCAGCCCTGTCTCTGCGCCTCACTGGTGCCATGCCCTTGCTGGCGTTGGGGTCTGTGCACCCCAAATGCCGCGCCTCTCTGGCTCTGGGGTCTGTGCACCCAAAATGCCATGCCCTCTCTGGTGCCAGGGTCTGTGCACCCAAAATGCCACGCCCCCTCTGGCGCCGGGGTCTGTGCCCCCAAAATGCTGCGGTCTCTCTGGCACCGGGGTCTGTGCCCCCAAAATGCTGCACCCTCTCTGGCACTGGGGTCTGTGCCCCCAAAATGCTGTGCCCTCTCTGGCGCCGGGGTCTATGCATCCCAAATGCCACACCCTCTCTGGCACCGGGGTCCCCACGCTGCAGTGGGCCCCCAGTGAGGCCTCCTCCTTCCCCAAATAGCCTCACCGAAACTACCAGAGTTATAAACAGCAAACAAACATAAGCCCCTGGGCTATAACATAATACAAAAGACCAGAGTGTGCTCTGCCCCTTTAAAAGCATTAAACTTCAATCCCGGCACTAAGTGTCTAGTAGGCAAAGGTACCTGCGGAGCTCATGGAGCCCCATTAGCTTTAGTTGCAGCATATCAGGCAGTTGCTATGTCACTGAGTGCTCCTTCCCCTCTGGCTGCTAGCAGGGAACTACCCTCCCTAGTTCCAGCCTGGGGTTTATATGGGCCCAGGGACCTGCCCCTTGTGGTCAGCTGACCATGTGCAGGTGCAGGCTAATTTGCCCTCTGGCTTGTTGCCCTGGTAACCTGCACCTGGGCTCCTGTCTTTCTCTTTGGGCTCTCTCCCCAGGCAGTTTCTGCTCTTCTAGGAGTGGGCACCTTAGTGCCCTGCGACAATAAGTGATCAGAAATTGGTCTATACCTGTAACAGAACAGACATTTGGCACACAAAACTGCTCTATACCTCTAACAGAACAGAAGTTCAGCACACACAGACTGGTTTTAAAATGGTGGAACCCTTGCCTCAGATTTGCCCCCAGCCCCAACCCTTACCCAAGAATGAATGTGTATAGTGTACACTACTGATCTAAACTAGGCTGCTTACAGAAGACCATGTAATTTGAATCAATTCCACCTGAGTCTTTTTGAATGTCTGCCCCAGCCAAAAGTTTTCAAGGTAAGTTTCCGAAATATTACTGTGTTATAAAAATGGAAG